AAACGATAGTAAGACCGATATTTCCAAACGGAGCAGATTGTTTGGCTACCCTGAAGATACAAAAGCAGGGCTGAACTCGTTACAAATGCGAATGCTCAAACGGACGCCTGATGTCAGCGAAAAGGATCATTCCAAATCAATGTCTTAGGAGGCATTCTAGGCGTAGCGCCAATTTCAGAAAAGCTAATCGAAAGCAGGCTCGTTGGTTCGGCAACGCGAAAAAGATCCAAAGAATACTTTGGGAATGTGCTGCAAGCACTGATACTGCCGAGGAAGAGAAGAAGAGAAAGTCCAAAGAAATGGTGAATGTAGGAAATAACGATACCCAACTGTGATGACTGAAACAAGATATGATCAAATACCTAAAAATATGGATACAGTTGACTCGAGCAGCAGAACCACGTGAAAGGAAACAAGCTATGAAAAAGTTAGTAAACAGAAACCACTGACTGAACGCAAACACTAGAGAAAACAATACAAATCACGAAGACGCTTTATGCAGGCTGACAGCCTGCAGTAACGAATTTGTCGTTTATTTCAAAGGCAAACAAGATCTAAATCTTGAGACATCATTTGCGTGCCGTTTGGGAAACTTTGATGTTCATGCTTCTCGTAGTCTTAATTGATGACCACGGGAACAAGAGCAACTAAAGTGAACTCTTCATTCAGCATTAATGCGATACCGACTGAAATGTCGCTGGTGAAGGTATATCTGTCAGAGAAACATGTTACATCACTGGACGTTTAACAAATCAGTTCTTCTGTTAGTTGCAAACAACGCAGTGATAAGCGATTTAGAATATAGCGAGTTCATTGCATTATCATCCTATGCAAAGTGGCGTACACGTTTCGTATGTCACGCTGATGTGCATGAACAAATGTGTATTTCGTCTGCAGTTTCACAGAATCTCAAAATAAATCGTAATAAGCTGAACGTATTCAGTACCATCTGATGCCATTTAAAAAAAGATTTTACAATTGCGATAGTTTCTCTTTTCACTAACTACTAAGAGCTTTAAGCCAATTCAAACACTCAAAATCGAGAATTCATCTACAAATTAGACATAACGGAATATTTGGAAGATAGAGCAAACATTAAACCACTGGTTCATAATGATAGCTTGATATAAGGTGACCTTGGTAAAGGGAATGCGTCTCAATCGCTGGAAGATAAATTAATTTACTGATTAGTACTGAAATGAACTTTCTTACATGAATCGATTGGTTGAAGCGTCCCAACATAGCCCGAAGACCAGATATCTGAGAAAGCTTTGGTGTACAGCTGCCGCTTCTGCAAATTGAGACGTCACAGCTATGATAGTTGAGGATGCAGTCTGAATGCTTCCAGAGAGGAAAGCGAAACAGCTACTGCTTGATTAACCTATGGCTGAAGACTCCAGGAGGCAAAGAATGACCTGACGTAGTTGTCGACAGACGTTCATTCAGACTCGAGTTATTTTCTGCTGAAACTGAGACGCGGGCATGGGATCAGGAACGCTAAAGAAACTTTCTGAAGCGCATGGCTCCGTGACCCGAAAGGATAAGCGATCTTCGAAACTGACCGATTTATACCTTTTGCTGACGGTTCACAGGCAACTCAGATCGAACTGCCTCCAAAAAGCGAAAGCGAAGGCATTAGCCATCATTGGCGTATGTCGCGCGCTCTATACACGACTATACAGAACGTCATGCTTTACTCGTTAATCGCAGATCAACGGCTAGCTGCTGTTTCTTGGCTGGTGGTAAGAAGCATAGTGGAGTGAATCTCTTGCTCAAGAAAATCAGCAGTTAATGGAAAATATTAAGTTACGCTGCGATTCGAACCTGCATACGTAGGCTAACATGTACGGCAGCCACAACCAGAATTATTAAATCGAAAAAAAGACACGTTCCGCAGATCGCAACAGCAATAAAGATACACTATGTGCGATATCAGCATCGAGTAAATGAATTTAATATTAAATTATTAAATGCTAAACTTGCTAGCCATTCGCATAAGCATAGTAAGTTAGAAAGTCAACGTGCAACTATGGAGTTTGCGTTGATTTTGCTGACTTACCTGAAGATCAATCAGTACGGAACCGTCATCGGCCGTTCCAGATTTTCGCTGGCAGTAGTTCTCTAAGCGCAAGAGTATTTTGCCATTCAACAGCTGTGATAAAGTCAAAACATGACCACAGGGTGGTAGTGGTCGTGACAAGGCACTGAACTGAAATGAGAAAAACCGCTATAGCAACAACCCTCTCATCCTCTCCGTACTCACCTCGCTGGCGATAGCTCCCAATGCAAATCGGTTTGTGACGGGAGCAAACATCAATATCGGTTCGTAAAATTTTTGCATGAACAGCTGAAGACTAACCGGAATTGGGTTGTCGGACACTGCTTTCCCTACCATCAGCCAGTGCCTTCCGCGAACGACAAGTCCTTTCCCCGATTCCTTCTCGTTAAGAGCTTCATCAACTCCAAAATGATCGTCGTACAGCAGCCTTCGATGTAGCTGCAAAAAATAACGCAGGCCTATTTCGAACTATCGCGCGTCGTATCAATACCAGTATTTCGATGCATCCATCCTGTAAGCTTGATACGCCTTGACTTCGATCAGTTAACACCACCATTTGGACAGAGTCGTCCTAAGCGATATCTGAATGATCACTACTAACAGATACGGACTCGCAGTTTACCATGAGGTAGACCATTCTTGTCACAGGATAGTAATTGCCGGCAACAGGTTCAGAGTCGTTGTATTCATAAGTTGGTTGAAAATTTCGTCTATAAATGGAGCTTAGGACGAGACAACATTACTTAATGATGCACTCACACACGCTTGATCAACTGCCTGCCATTACTATCGGTAAAGAAGGTGCCGTTGCTTTTGATCTTGCTCGAAAAGCGGCTGGCGATCTCTTTTGATACTCCGTCGCTACGATTTAAAAATTTGTAAAGAAAATAACAATATTTAAAATAACAAACTCTATGGGGATCGGACCGATGGTCCATTCCATTTCTATGAACGAACTATTTTCATAAAGTCTGACCACCTGCGAAAGCCACGGTGCAAATTTCTGTCGCATCTCTTGAACCCATATACCCTATACATGCTGCACGTTTAATATAGATAGCATAGACGATATTCGTCCTCACAGAAATTTTCTCAGTTGCGACCTTTTCTCCATTGGATGGAATCGCGAAACTACCATTTGGACGCAATATATACGCTCCCGATGGTTGGCCTCCCGCCGTTTTGTCATTGGTTGCTCCCTTGTACCAGAAGAAAGACTGGCTGACTTCGTGCACTTGCCCACTCAGACGGTCAGTAATTGTGTTCATTCTGCCAGTTGAATCGAAAGAAAGTATCAGATACTAAACAATCATGTAAGGAGGCAGAAAAACATGCAAAGCTAAAACATACCTTATTCTCTATCTGATTTTCTTCTTCAGCCTTAATTCGCCTAGATTGAATAGATAAGGCATTTCGCCCAGTCGCAGGCTGATTCTTGCACTTCTCACCATACAACTTCTTGTATAAGCCTGCCATATACTTATCTAAACATTTCGCATTCCATATTTAAGGAACGGCTGCATTTTGTTTAAAAAATATTCTTTCTGTAGTAGCATATTTATAGTCAATAGCCTCAACTAGATTTTTCCTGAGGAAAAAATTACGAAGGCAGATGCTTCTTCAAGGTCGCCAGTAAATAATCTATGTAGCATTATTTATGCTTGTACAAAAGGACAAATTTAATTGAAGGCAAGTACTTTCATCGCCCTATTTAAACACGCAGACGAAAACAAAATGTCTTGCGAAATGATCTGAAAATTATTTAGCAAGGTGATTTCCTTGTTTGTCAAACGGAATCGGTGAACTTGGTCTGCTC